GACCGTTCGCCCTAATATTCCGCCCCTTTTTTCGATATGATCTATGTGGGTTTCCTTGAACTACGTAAGGCTTCCATGGGTTTCAATGAACTCTTCTGCACCTTCCGTTGAAGCGAATCCAGCGGTGGCGACGAGGGACTCCAAGGAGGCGGAAGAAAGAGACAACGGGGAATGGGTAGCGGTGTCGCTACGGGTCCAGCGCCGATCCGAGAAATCCTGGCGGACCTCCGAGTTTTGCATGCTTATGTTGTTCCTCGTTCCCATTGTTCTTCCTCTGATGGGAACTCGTCGCAAAACTTTGGTAAACCCAAGTTCCGGCTTGCTCGAGTCTTACGTTTCCCCGATCCTAGATGGCGTCGGAGTAAATAAAATCGGAGGATCGCGCCGCATCGCAGATGCATCGTCGGTCATGCGTCGGCGACGCCGGCGTTAGAACATCGGGATCCACATCGCGCCACACCCCCAATGCATCGGCGATGTGGCGCGATCCTCCACCGATCTACTCTGGCCCTATCGCCCCATCTGAGAGGCCTAGAATTAGGGCGCGCGTGTCACGCTGCAGGCGGATTTTGGACGAAAAATGCGAAATAGCAAAAATACCCCAAAATGTGTCACAACACAAGTATCAAAGAGAATCGTTCCCAGACTATCTTCTGGCTATCTCCGAATATTCCTGGTGACAGGCCCGACTGAAGCCCAGGGGAAACTCTAATGAGGCTCGTAGCGATACTGACGTGCAAATCGTTCGTCATACTTGGGTATACAAAAGGCTAGTTAATCGAACCATCTAGTAGCTGGTTCCCTCCGAAGTTTCCCTCAGGATGGCTGGAGCTGAACCGTTTGATCCGGCAAAGCGAATGATTCGAGGAATCGGGGGCGCGTTGTCCTCGACCTGTTCTCGGACTTCAAGCGGGTAAGATCCAGTGGTTACCTGGGTGAACTTCGCAGAAGGGCAGGAGACGGCGGCGAGTCGCGTGCGACGATCATGTCCGCGCCCAGGGCCCCGCGGGCTGTGGCCCCCCTGGGGGCCAAAGGCCCCGCGGACGCGGGGCGCTCCTTGCCGCGGAGGCCTCTCCGCGCGGCCGCGCGCCTCCCAGCGGCGGCCGCGGCGCCTCCCGCGGGACAGCGCGCGCCAGGGCCCGGGCCGCGAGAGGGCAGGGCTTTCTCGGAGGGGTTCGTCGCTCGTGGACGGGGGGCTCCGCCGCGTGCCTGCGGGTGCCCGCAGAGGTTTCTGGAGTCGCCTGCGGTCGGGCATGTCTGAAGGGGCACACACACACATTCACACACACACAAATACACACTAATAACAGGATGCCCCATATTTTCCCATATTTTCTGTGTTTTTGTCTTCCCCCCACTTCCCATATTTTCCTATATTTCCTGGGGGATCGACGATTGATTGTGTCTGTGTGTTTTGTTCCCTCCTGAACAAAACAAACGAAGACAGAAACCTGATCCCAAACAGATGAAAGACAGACTCGAGAAGTCGTCCCCAGACTATCTCTTTGCCTACTTTTGAGTACTCCTCCTGTAGAGGGGCACGCCCGACTTGAGAGCACCCGGGTGGGGGCGCATCGGAGGAGAAGAGCGAGAGACAACTTAGCATGACAGCAGCATGACAGCAGCAAGAGACGGGCAGCAGCACCCGAACTAGAGTCCTGACAGGGAGAGGAGGCGAGAGGGGAGCAGCAGCCGAGGGGGGGAACGATGGGGAGAGGACTAGCAGAAGGGGAGGCACGCACCGAGCTCTGGCCATTGCTCGGACGTCCATTCCCTGCGCTTTTGTCGGTTTCGTGCGTGGCTTATTCGCCAAATGATCAAGGATGCTCCTCGATGGTCCTCGCCGAAGGAAAAATGCACACGTCCGAGCGATGCCAAGAGCTCGCACCGGCACTACATCGCCAGAAGATCGGCGACAGCCCTCCGATGGCGAGGCCGCACGTTCCCCGGGTGGAGCGAGCAACATCGTGCCCCCCGCGGCGAGGAATGCGACTGGCACTCGACGCACCCGCCCACGGGGAGCCGGTCCCCCCAGCGGCCCTCGCCGCCTGGCTCTCGGGCCATGCCCTGGGCATCCCGCTGCCGCTCGGGACGGCCCGGGCCTGCCTCGGCGAGGAGCCGTTGCTGAGGCGCACCCCGAGGCAGGAAGACCTCCAGAAGCCAAGGGACATGAAATGTAGAGCTCTGACGCTGACTGCCCCGAAGCAGGACCCCCAGAGCAGGACGCAAGAGAGCACGGGGTCCGCCAGGCGATGCCTGCAGCGCGGGCGGCGCGGGGCCGGCCGCGGCAGCGCGGTCGGCGGGAGAGGGGAGGGAGGAACGAGGAGGGAGCAGCGAGGAGGCGCGCCCAGCGGAAAGGCAGAGGACTTCTCAGAAGGCTCAGGAACTCTCTGAGGAAACTCTCTGAGGAACTCTCTGAGCCCTTCTCCGAGAAGCTCTGAGGAACTCTCTGCGAAACTCTCAGGAGGCCTCCGCCCGTCTGAGAGCTCTCCTGAGCCTTCTCCGACACCGCAGGCGGCGTCTCCGAAGGCCAAAAGGCTTCAGAGGCCCCGCCGGCAGCTGAGAAGGCCTCCCCCCTCTCACGTCCTCGCTCGCCCGCCTCTCCGAGCCACGAGGACGCACCGGGAGGAACCGGGGGAGGGGCCAAAGGGGGGAGGACAGAACGGAGAGGAGAGGGAGGAAGAGGAACAAGAAGAACAGGACAGGAGGAGGGGAGAGGGGAGGGAGGAAGAGGAGGAGGAGGAGGAAGGAGGGGAGGGGAGGAGGAGGAGGAGGAAGAGGAACAAGAAGAACGGAGAGGGGAGGGAGGAAGAGGAGAGGAGGGAAGTCAGGACAGGTGCTCTAGAGGAACAAACAGCGGTATAAACACAAAAACTCTGAGGTCCACGCGGATCTCTCGGACCGGCGCTGGACCCCCCCCTCCCTGGCGCACGCGGCGCGCCAGTGGCGGCGCCGAGGGGCCCTCAAAGTGGTCCAGCGCGGATCCGAGAAATCCGCGCGGACCTCCGAGTTGTCATGCCCATGTCATTTTTCGTTCCCCTGAGGAGGGAGAGCACGACAGGTGTTCGGGCTGGCAGACCGACGTCGCACATCTCCCTTGGAGAGACGGCGCAGGGCCGGTATACCCCGCGCCTCCGCCCAGAAACAGCGCAGGCGGGACCCATCACGGAATGCGGCTGCCGCTGCGCATGCCTCGGCTACTCAACGGGGGGGATCTGGATCGTATTGAGGAAAAGCGGACATCCAACGGTGCGATAATGCCCCACGTTGTTCAAGAGGGTAAAAAGGTCCAAGCCATACGGGCTCCGCCCACTTCGCGGATATCCCCGGGTGCGTTCTGACTATAATTTCGACGCGAATCTAGCCATGTTACCAGGCGCCTCCCATGAGGCCCAAACAGACGAAACCGAGGCAAGGATCGCGGTATCGGTACCTCTGCCTCCTCTGAGAAGCAATCACATCGTCGGATGTCTGACACCCATCGCGCCGAACTCACGCGGCGAGGCTCTTCAAAATCGACGCGGCGCCCTCGTCGGACATCTTCGCGAAGATGGCGGACGTGACCTCGTTGCCCTGGCGCATGAGCTGCTCCTTGCGCTTAGCCAGCTGGGAACGACCCTCCGTTGCAGGGTAAAAGAAACACTTGCACGCCCAATGCCCAGATCTCCGACGATATGACTTTTTGGATCCTGGCATTGTTCCTCGATTTCGGCGTCTGGGGGACCGCTAGCAGGCCCGAGGGCCATCTAAATTAAAACATCAAGAAAGGCTAGGTCCAGGCGGAATTTATCCATACGGATGCCGAGCACTCCGTATGGACTTCCTCCGTATGGACGAAGCCTCCGCCATCGCGACCTTTGGGGCAACGGACGAGCCCAAAGAACACCAGAAAAATCCCGGGATGAAAAAGCCAGTCCCAGGGGAGGGGTTCAGACCTCGAGGGGTCCACGTTGAAATATCAGAATGGACCCGAACAGTAAGTCACTGCACTCTGGAGGTGAAGCTATGCGATATAAGCTATGTGGTGTTAGCTACGTTGTGTAAATTATGTGGCGTAAGCGATGTGGAGGCAACTCCTGGGAGGTCTGCGTGAGAACGACTAAGGGCGACCCAGAGCGATCAATAACAAATCAAATCGATGATAAGACATAAACCAAGCTATGCTGGATTCAGCCGGAGATTCAGCGGAATTAAGCGGGCTGAGACAAATCAAGCAGGACTGTGCAAGATTAGGTGGGTTTTAGACCACGGATATACCAGCGCCGATGCTGAATTCAACCTCCCAGGAACTGCATCCGAACCCTTGCCTCCCAGAAGGTGACCAGAACTGGCTGGAGGTCCCCGAGAGGTATCAGAGAGACCCCTGGAGGCCAAACACTACTGAAACACTTCACGAAACAGTCGTCAAGAAAGTGAGGAGGCGGAGGAGTAGACGGAAGAGGAGGCAGAGGAGGAGGAAGAGGGGAGGAACAAGAAGGAGGAGGAGGAGGTGAAGACGACGAGGATGGCGACGATGGCCCAGGCATGACTCAGTAGCTGCCCAAGCCTTGTTCAGGGCGTACGCGTTCTGCCTGATGATGGCGGGGCCCTTGGAGCGTGGCTTGCCCACCAGGTCCTGCACCCTGTTGATGTACTGCCCCTCCTCGGAGTGCAGCTGGCTCGGATCGTTCAGGTTCTTCCTCTTGGTGGCTCAAGGAAAGGGCCCTGAAGCACTCGGGGCTCCGAAGACGGGACGTGGATCCCCAGGTGGAACCTCCAATCCTTCAGAATTTCGCCCTTCGGCTGCTTGTCTCGATGCAGCGCCCTCAGACGTCTCCACCCTTTGCCGCGGACCGGCTTGCCATCACGAGCCGTTGTTTGACGGTCCCGGGGCCAGGCGAGGGCCCCCAGAGGCAGAGAACTCAGAAAAACCACCGCCTTGATTGTCTCAATGCGTTGGAGGTCTGGGATCCCTCAGGGCCACATGTTCGAGCCACCGATCCTCACGCCAGTGGCCATGTCGTAGTCCTTCTTGTACTGGTCGAAAGACTGCTGCCTGCTGTTCTCGGCCTGCTGCGCAAGCCGGCCCAGCACCACCGCGTGCCTAAGGGTGGCCGGGGGCTCGCAGGTGAGCACCTCCTTCCTGAGAACCTCTGAGCGGCAACGTAAGGGCGGGACCAGCTCGGAGGCGAGGGAAAGCATCCAGCCCGCAGCGGCGATGCATCGCCGATGGATTGGCGATAGGCCCCGGATAGCGGGTCCGCACGCTCATGGGCAGGATAGGCGGGCGGGCTCCCATCGGCGACGAAAGGGCGATCGGGGGGCGAAGCATCCCCCCCCCTGAACCCATCCTCTCCATTGAACGGGGACCGACCGTCGCGGCAATTCTGTAGGCCTACCACGACATGCCCGTAGAACCCAAACATGTTCTAAGAGCAAGAGCAATGTTCTCAGAACCTAACCTCGACGTGTTAACACGAGGCAGCCCCAGCCAGAAATGTGCTGCGAAGAGTTCGCGCAGACCACAAAAGGTTCTTCGAACTGTCTTTGGTAGGCCTATCTTGCCGTCGCTCGGACGTCCATTTCCCTTGCATTTTTCGGTCTCGTGCGTGCTTTTTTGGCTCGATGGTCCAGCATGGTCCTCGATGGTTCTCGCCGAAATAAAAATGCACACCTCCGAGCGATGCCGAGTAGAGGCACGCCCGGACGATTCGCCCCTGCTTTGAATCCCCTCCAATGATTCGATGCTCATTCTGGGGACCTTCCTGGAGCCACTCGCTCCACTCGTGTGTCGAAGCTGCGTCGAACCTGGGCCGAACCTGAGTCGAACCTGAGTCAAATCTGAGTCGAACCTGCGTCGAACTTGAGCCGAACCGAGTCGAACAGATGCGTTAGGTGGGCCCCAGGAAGGTCCCCAAAACGAGCATCGAACAATGAGATCCTTGCCGTCTGGCACTTCTGGGTCCTGGCCCGGCTCTCTGGCGGGCCGCGCGGGACGATCCGTGCCCTCTCCCGCTGGCCATCGCTCGGACGTCCATTCCCTGTGTTTTTTTCGGTTCCGTGCGTGGTTCCTTCGCCAAATGATCAGGGATGCTCCTCGAGGGTCCTCGCTGGCGGAAAAATGCACACGTCCGAGCGATGCCAAGCCCGAACACGCCTCTCGGCGAGGCGCAGCTGCTGGACAGCGTCCCGCGGTGGAACGTGCCGTCGGGCTTGCTTGGAGAGGGCACGCGAGAGGACACGAGACCCCTTCGAGGGCCACATCGCCACAGGAATGTACAGTCGGGGGCTTGACCTAAGGAACCCAAAATGAGGAACGAGGCCCCTTTTTTTCCATGAGTTAAACTTCGATTTCCGATCGAAAACCTAAGGAAAACCTAAGGCAAGCTGCGAAACAATGAAGGAAGACGGAGCCCCTCCCCAACGAAAAGGGTTCCTTCTTCAGGGCCCCGAATGTACGAAGCATGGGTCGCGAAACACAGGACACAAGGGTACCCTTGACCTGGCAGGGTCGACCTACTAATCCGGGCCGCCTGTACGCCAAGGACCGACGAGAGCGTCTGAGAACCTCTAGCCTTAGGTCGGGCGTGTCCTCCGACAGGCGGGCTGTGGGCGAAAAACGAAGGTAGCCAGCAGTATGTCAAGTATAATCAAAAATGCCACACAGACCGTCCCCATACAACTTCTTTTTCTTTACAATGTTTGAATGTTCCTCCTGTAGAGGGACATGCCCAACTTCAATCTAACCTGGAACATTCGTTCCCACCCTGCGAGGCCGGCCTCATGTCACGAACGTCCGCGAAGCGCGTACTTTCGAAACCAGGAGGATTCATTTCCATGTGCACCCTTTTTGCGCTCCTGATCCCCCCCACCTCCATTTTCCATACCTTCCGACCTCCGCGGAAGGTGCAGAATGAGACATCGAAGCATCTGGAAACCTGTCGCAATGCAAGCACCCCCCCGTCGATCGTATCGAAAAAGGGCCGGACGCTTGGGGCGGAAGGCCTGGAAGAATGAGGGGAGGGTCAGCGTTAGGTCGGGCCTGTCCCCTACAGGGGGCTTTTGAGCGAAAAGTCAAACATACCCCCAAAAGTACGAACACATCGTCAAAAATACTCTCAAAATCGTCCCCAGACTATTTTTTGATAATTTTTGAAAATAGTCCCCCTGTAGAGAGGGACAGGGCCGGACTGACGGTTAGCGCTGCCCCAGAGCCTTGGACCCCGCCGCTCTGGACATGGCACCCTCCTCGGGCCGCGGGGGCTTCTTGTCGGGGCGCGCCTCCGCCGCCCCGAGGGCCCCCTTCGCGAGCCTCTTGGGGAGGCCGGCCGGCGGTGCCGACGGGTCCTGGCCCTCTCCTGGGGGGGGAGCCAGAAGAGCCCGATAGGCCTGCTTGCCACCACCACCACCACCAGAAGTTGGAGGGGGAGGGGGTCCTCCTCCTCCTCCTCCTCCTCCTCCTCCTCCTCCTCCTCCTTCCCTTCGTCCTCCTCCTCCTCCTCTTCGTCGTCGTCGTCCTCC